TGTTGTCAGCTGTGACTGAAAGCAGGCCTGATGTTTGTTATTCTAGGAGTTAACTGAGTCAGAAGCAGAAACAAGGTTAAAGATGGCACTAAGGCCAGTTCGGGGTTTGCATTTTGTAAAGAATACTCCATGGAGCACCTTTTAAATTTAGAGAAATAGGATTTCTTCTAGCTTTACAGTAACTATATATATATATAGTAAATATATATATATTTATAAATACATATAACATAAGGTATGCTAATTCTGACAGGAGAAGTGGATACATTTATGTATAATAACTAAACCAGTTTCTACAAAGAAATGAACTATTAATTTCAGTCATTTGCTCCTAATTCTAAAACCTAACTTGTACAGAATCGCAGAATTGCTCAGGTTGGCAAAGACCTTACGATCATCAAGTCCAACCTCAATGTAACCATACTACCCTAGCCCTTACAACCCACTGCTAAATCATGTCCCTGAAAACCACATCCTGTCTTTGTGCATACCTGAAAAACACTGTGGACACTGGGCAGTATGCAAGCAGTAAACATCAAAATGCATTCAGCTTTTATTTTGTTCTACAGCATCTGTGTACCTTTTACCTGGGAAAGTTTTTCCTCATATTCCATTTACTGAATTTTCATGAATTCTGGAGTTGTACAAATACAAACGCAGCAATACTGCCCATCAGCTTCCTGTAGACCCAGGGACAGCCGTGCTTAAAGCTATGAAACCTTTGCAAGAGGAAGCTGTAAGGCACAGAGCTTGTGTAATGCAGAGTAGGTTTCCCCTGCTTGCTAATTCCCACTACCAATGCAGCTCAGATGGCCTTGAAGTATCATCCAAAAGGGCAGTGCTGCTCAGCATTTGGATGGAGTCATCTCTTAGGTCTGCATCAGAAGGCCAGGAGCATCTGTAAATCTCTTGTGCACTGACATTGGATCAGGGCATATGGCAATTGACAGGCCCTCTGGAGGTACGATCTGAAAGGTTTATCTGCCTCTACTTTTTTCTGTTGCTGAGCTGCTGTGAGAATATATTTAAGGCAAGTAGCTTTGCTCCACTCTGGCCTCTCTGGCTTTTTATGTGAGGAGAGTGGTAATTTCATAGTAATCTTTCAAGAAGGTTTGTTCTCTGTATTAAGAGCTTTTTTGTGAATGCAAAGAGAACAGGCAAATATAATCTTTAGTGATAATTTAAGGCATCAATGCTTTAATTTAAGGCATTAATGCTGTAGAAGATATGATTTGCTGATTAGAAGGAAAAAAAATTCTTCTGCGTGGAAATGCGTATCATCAGCTAATGAAAACTCCTTCCCTGTTCCTCAAATGCTTATCTGCATCTGATAAATTCCAAATAACTTCCTAGTTAATACAGAATCCCCATGTACAGAGCATAGCAAAAATAAAAATTTTCCATTAAAAACAAGTGAATGTCTAAGAATGCCATTTTTGAGCACTGTTAATTTTAAGACCTAAGGGATAGGTATTTTAAGGGACTGAGACTTGTAAAAATAAGAGATTCTGACATCTGATTTTGGATGTAGAGCTTTTAGTGCTGTTCTGAGTTAGTTATCTGATCTCTGTATGAAATAAACAGAGGTTCCTGAGAAAGCTATCCTTAACATATATAACTGCAGTCAACTAGTGTATGGAACAATGTTCTGCTAAGAAATTTCTCATCCCTAGGGACTACACTTAACTATTTTCCTGACAGCTTCTTGTACAGGTACATGGCTGGGAAATGCTAAGGATAATCACGCAATGACTGAGACTGGAAATGCCTCTGGAGGTCATCTGGCCAAACTAGTATAAGGCTGGAGCTGGTATGTACTGCTTTTCAGCAGTGTCTAGACTACCAACCTGGTTGGTGGCTTTTGGTGCACTTGGAATTTGGGCAGACTCTTTCCAGACAGGGGAAGAGTGCCCACACAGTCACTGTGTGTTGCCCCAGGGAAAAAAATCCCTAGCTTTACTTCTATCTCCTTTTGTCATACCAAAAGAACTTTGCTGTAGATGGTAAGTCTCAAACTCTGAAGTAACCTACTGTGTTGTGGTGATGTTTTGAATACTAATGTGGGAAAGGTTCAGGCATTGATATAGTAGATACCCAAGCGTAATGTAGTGCGAAGTTCTAACACAGCACCATCCGGGAAAGAAACAACTGCGCCACTAAAGGAAACAAGGCTGCAATATGGGGATGTATACTTCTATCCATTGGAAAATGGATATCCATCTACCTCTCTGTCACAAAAGACAGTGGGGAAAGAGCAGTACTTTTTCTCAGGTTTTTTTTTAAGATTCATCTAAGTTGGTCTATCTGCAATAGGTCTTCTATGTAAACTGAATTTCAACAGGATTCCTTTTGTTCCTTCTTCAAATATGTACAGATTTTGGCATGTGTCTGTTTAAGCTTTACTCTTTATCCTCAGATTTTACTAAGGGTAAGTATATAATGACATATACATGAATTCTGTTTCTAATGTTTATATCAGTCAATTTAATTGTTCTACCTATAAAGATGTCTGTATCCTGTTATACATAAGGCTTTATACAAAAATGCTTTGAATTCGTGTATTGGCTTCATTTTCAACATACTCCTCTGTGTTCATCTTTCTGTATTTAAAGCAAATTTTTGTCTTTCCATCTACTGTCCTGATCTCACTGTCTGATATTTAAATATTGCCCAACTAAATGAATTAATGTTCTGCTGTGCTAATACATACTGAGCTCATGAACAGCTTGAAAAAAGAAGGAACAAAGTGTTTCAACAATTACTTGAAAGATTGTTACTGTGTGTTGACTAGTTCTCAGTGTTTGTTAGAATTTCATTACTTTATGTGCTATATCAATAAGATATTGTTCTCTTATGAATACTGAACTTATTGCGATATTATATAAATAAATAACAAAAGCCACAAGAAAACATCATATAAATGGTCACAACAGTAATGGAAATGTCTTGGGTGCTTATGGAGAACTGGGATAGCTAACTAGAGATCTGATTGCAGAAAATTAGCTATCTACAACAAAACAGTATTTCCAAACAATCTTGTCACAATAAGGAAACAGTAATGAGAAGCCTGTAGTGTAACTGTCATGTTAAAAGGAGAAGGGTAATTTTTTTTTTTCTTTCTGTATTTTCCCCTAAGAAATCCTGCCAGATATAATCATCTTAGTTATACTGATCTCTTGGGAGTGCTGATAAGCTTACAAATAATGAGCTGTGGGCAGCTTTAATCCTGGTGTGGATTTTTTTTCAAACTCTCAAATACTGAGAAAACAAAATACAGGTAGCATGATGCTTTCTTTCCAGAAATGCCCCTTTCCCATATTCATCTGTACATTCCTTGCATAAATGTACTTTATCTTTCCATAAACCTAGAAGAAATTTATTTATAGAATTATTCTCTAAGTCATATTTTGTGTGAAAAGGAAATTCAAAGAAGCAATTGAGGTATCGGTGCTTTATCCAAGTGCATAAAGCTGGTTTGATTCTGAAGACTAATGCAATCCATTATGCCTTTTTTATTGATGCTGTGTTTGATCTATAGGCAATTTATCCTCCAGGAATGCTTGCCTAAATATGAACATATACATTTATTCTGTCTTTAGTTTCTTTGTCTTTTTCTTCTTGAAGTGAGGACATCTAATTCAAACTAAGGCATGATATAAAATCCTGCAGATTCGTTCAGTGGTGACCAGCAGAACCACTCTTTACATATGTCCTCTGTTTTCACCGTAGTTTAAGTTTGCTGTAGTCTGATAGAAGTTTGGCCAAGGCTGTGCAAAACTTTGCAACTGGCTGCTTAGATTAATGAAATGATAGCATGTTGGTAACTTTTTATAAAGCAATGCCAGTGAAATCACATAGGTAGATAATTGTGCAGATGCTCACACGTACTCTTGTGTGAGTGAAAGTTCAGAAATTATATTCATTTCATATGAGTACAGACTGAAACACTGACACTTAACTTGCTTAAGTATATCTAACTGTCCTATTACTGATGATTAGAATACAGAAATATTCCGTCCTTTCCATTCCTTCCTACCTGAAAACGTAGCGTTCAGACTTATAGTCTTCAGCACACATATAGCATTTGCATGAAACTATTTGAAAATACAAGTTTGGCTGGTACAATCACGTGCAGATTTTAGCTTTTTATTTTGGTATATGTGTTAATTGTAACTATTTTGATGTCAAATATATAGCTGAATAATAGGAGAGACCAGCTATTTGGAGGAGGTTGAAATAAAGAGTAAATTTGTTGAAGGGGTTACTCTTGAGTCCGTTGTAAGAGAAATTTGATGAGATAAATCCTCCTGTTAATCTAACGTGGCTATAGTGGCAAAAAATTCCTTCATCACTGTTCCTAGTGTTGCCATCTGTGAAAGTTTTTATGCAATTTCAGACTGTGTGTTAGAAATTGACTTGAAGTGCTAAACTTGTTAGCCTGGCAGGTACTCAAGTTTAATTTATACAATGCAGAAATATGGGATGTTCATGGCTGTTCTTTTTCTACTGATAGGAGTTGCATGTGTGTGAGCCTGAATGTATCATTTTTGTCCATATGGAATGTAGGGTCAACAATGAATAATCTTTTAAAGTACATACTTGTATTCTACTTTCAGTTTAAAGAGTCTCTCAATCTAGAGCAATGTAAGATTATACAAATTTATATCAAGAATAGATTGTTTATTTTTGCTTCCTTTTAAATTTGAATTCTAGGCAGCAGCTTTGATAACAACACCTTTCTGATCCTGCCTTTTCCTGCTCTCTAGGTCACGTCTGTGTGTATGTGTATGCTTGTGTGCATATTATATAAGTTTATATACCACTATTCTCAAATGTATTATTTCTGGCACTACTGTGAAAGTGTTATTGAATAGAAAAAAGTGCTCAAGAGCCTCTAATAGATTTCAGTCCAGCCTGTCTGCTGCCCTGTTTCGCACTGAGTCAAACACTTTTTTTTTTTTTCTTAAGCTGATAATTGAAAACCTATCTTGTTCTTACAGAATGGTTTTGCTGTTGTAAGGCCCCCAGGCCATCATGCTGAAGAATCAACAGCCATGTAAGTACCAGGGAATATTGCCCATCTTGGAGCACTAAGGTTACTGGCAATCACCTGTGTTGTGCATGTCTCTGTAGATCTGTAATTGTTAGCAGATGACTGAAAACGCTTTCTAGGTACTCCCAGAAGCAGATTTATGGCCTCAGAGATCATATAGCATTTTTTAAAAATGCTCTGAGCATTATTTATAGCAGTTTTCCTGACTGATTTGCTTTCTTATTTCTGTTCTTCTCTATTCCACAGGGGGTTCTGCTTTTTTAATTCGATTGCAATTACTGCCAAATACTTGAGAGACAAGCTAAATATAGGCAAGATATTGATTGTAGATCTGGTATGTATTCTTGACAAGCATCACATTTTCTGCACGTCTAGATAAAAGATAATGAATTTGTATTTGTCAGACTTTCCTGCTTCTAATACCTACCTGTAATAAAGGTGTGCATTTCCTCTGATTTTTGGGAACTCATTAAAGCCAGGATGGCAGTACTGAAACCATAAACATCTATGTTTCAATTTAATGGTGTTAACTGCAATTTAATGAGAAGAAGGCACAGATCAGGGCAACTTTTATGGTCCTTAAATGAATTGATACTTCCACTGTTAAAATAACCCTACAGAACCCAAGTTTACTTCTCCCTATAGAATACAAACTTTAAATAGTCTGATGTATTTTGAGGAATGCTGTTGCTTTGGTAACAAAATGGGCTATTTCTCCCAGCTAGCAGTGATTCTACTTGTTGTGTATGTTCAATATCATTAAACAAATCAACAGGTCATTCCTTCTAAGAAGTTTGCAATTCATGTTTGCTAGCTTTTGATGGCTCCCTTAAGGAAGGCTATGTGATTAAAAATCCACTTCATAGGATTAGTCTTGTATTCTAATAGGAGGCATTCTTCCACAATGCTTAATAGTTTTAACAAATGGATTATTTAAATGCAGATGACATTTGGCATGTTTTCTATATTATTTTCATGAATAATGAATTGGAGTTCTGCCTTGCACTGAAAAGATCAGCCCAATGCACAGCCCAAGGAAAGTTGAATGCTGATTTATGAGCACCATTTTTGTTTTCTTATAGTTCATGAGGAGGTGTAATAGGGTGTCTGACAAAGCATAGACAGGAAATGAACCTTGGCATCAAAACCTAACCTGTTACATCTGCACTTAATTAATTTTTGCAGGTGATAAAAGATTTAAAGACAAAATATGTTAAAGGGTTTTTGAAGTGCAGCGCTTAATAGCCTAAATCTTGTTCATATCTGCACTCATAATTAAATCTTATTGTGAAGTCGTGGCCTAGCCATCTAGAACTTTAGTTCAGTTAAACATCCATACTGGTTGCTGAAGAGAGCCAGAGAAGGGCAGTGTGAGAGAAAGAGTAGCAAGAGGAAAAAACGAATTGTAAAGTAAATATATGGGTAATTTTGATATTCTTAGGATGCTTTTTAAAATATGTATCATCATTCTACTATCACTTAGGAATGTATTTAAAACTTACAAGAAACCAATATTTGTTTAAAAAAAAAATATTTCACTGTATACTGTATCCATTTGCTGACTTGAATCTTACAGTTTGCTGAGTTTTACTGCTAAAAATGCTATCTAAAATGAGCTGTGTTTATTACTGATATTAAAAAAAGAAATACTCAAAGTTTGAATTTTGTTAATGTTTCTCTGCTTTTTTTTTTTTTTTCTGTAAGTGTTGTGTTCACGTAGTCAAGAAAAGAAATCAGTTCAATTTGACCTATGCAACCAATAAGAACTTAAGAATTCCACTTCAATTTTGGAAAGGAGGGTTAAATGTGCAAATCATTACCTGTGCAAATGATTACCTGTGAGGTTTCTTATGCTTACGCGGAAAAGTGGATAGGGAATGTTCAGCCTCTCTCTGCCCATATTCCATTGGCCAGAGGATCTCAGCTGGTGAAAGCAGAGAAATATATGGCTGATACAGATTACTTCATTCATGAAGCAGATGCAGTCCCAATCCTAGCCTGCTCCATGGTCACTGCAACGATGCACAAAAATTCAGAAGGAAAACTTCTTATATACATAAGAACTATGGATAATTCTCAATCCAAACTGAATGATTGAATAACATTTATGGTGATGTCTATGTCCACCAACAAAATTTGGGCATCTGAAAGAAATAATTGAGTTGCAAATATTAGATTTGAAATTGACCTTTGAGATTATATTTTGATAGTGACTTCGCACAGCAGGACCCCATGCTGGTTGGCAGCTATGCATATTATTACAATTTAAGTGTTAAAAAGTAATGTTTAGTCTGACATATTAAACAGAATTCTAGTTAAAAATGGACTATAGTCTTCATGGTCACTATATGTTCATACAGAAATTCTTAAATTTAAATTTTTTAATCTTTATTTCTTTTCTACACAAAAATAAAAAGTCTCTCTGTCATGTTTTCTTTCCTTATTTCATCTTTTGACTAAATCTTAATTTTTGAACTGACCTATGTATCCTGAACTCCTTTGATCTACTAAGGGCAGAATTTGAACATGTTTCCTACGTGGTAACATCCATCGTCTTAAACAGTGCATTTCATTGTCTAAACTGAGAAGTTGCTGCTCTTGAGAACTTAAAGTTTAAAGTTTATTAAAATTAAGTGAAATTAAAGTTTAGACTAAAAAGCTAGCCCTGAGATTTTAATACTAATATTAAAGCTCTGTCTGCCCATTTGATTTGTTTTCTTGCTTGAAAAGTATTATAGCAAGAATATGTCCTAAGTATGCTTGGAAAAGGATTAATTAAAATCGCAAAATGAAGTACTCCCACATTTTTAAGCATGATGTCTGCAGAAATATCTATATTGCCACCACTGTTCCTCAGATTCTTATTGGATTCCCGGTCCTAATATCATCCATACCCATTTATATGCTAGCAAGATCTGGGTCTGTTTTGGAGTAGATCAATTAATTCTGTCCCAGATGAAAACTGGATGTGTTTCTGGCTACAACCCACATTTGACTTCATTTGCCTGCTAATACTATTCTGGTTGCCTTCTATCCTCTAACACCATCGCACCAATGTATGCTGCCTTGTACCCCAAGCATGCAGTTTTGCTGTGACTTTATCCTCATGTTTTTTGTTGTTTTTTTTCCAAGTACTTTCAAATGAGAGAAAAGCTAGTCATCACGATGTTAATCCCAGTAAGTCCTACAGCTGACTAAGTCAAGATTAATGCAGTATGGATGAGACTCAGTCTATGCAGAGAGCCTTGAGCAATGTGTGAGAACTGTCAGCTACATCAGCTGACAAAGAGAACAAGCAATTAACAATTTTTGCTGTGCTCTTGACTGTTTAGACTTGACTCTTTCTGAAGTCCAGGCATCCTAGATAAAATGTGACTGTTGTTTCTCTGATAATTTATTTCAAACCTTTCTGTCTTTGTCAGAAAATTTAAATGGATTAATTAAAGGTAGAGAATGAACAATATATATATAATTTTTCAGCTTCTTAAAAATCCCAAGAGTTTACAAAAAAGTTTAGTGCAAAATTTTGCATTTCTGAATGTATGTTATGATAGTATAACTGGAAAAAAAAATAAAAATATGAAAATTCCATATTATGATTCTTTAGTATACAGATACGCAGCCAGAATTTTTTTCTGGTATTTTATTTAATGACAGAATTTCTTTCATCTGGCATTCTATAATGTTTGAAGTATGAACACTGGCCAAGGTCACTCCTTGATTGTGGAAGGCACCATCCTATCGGCCAGATAATTTAATAGCTAATGAGATCATATTCCAATGTCTTCAACTGTTGCCGTCATGATTTTGTAAAAGTGAAGTATGAAGTCCTTTCTGCATCTGGCATCTCTTTTGATGTGGATCTAACTGCTGAGGGACTGCTAACTGAACTGAATGTTTTAAGAAAGCCAATTTACTCAGCTGGTCGCAGAGCCCTTGACCTCAATAGTGGAACTTGGCAAATCAATGAATACACTTATGTTTAGTGTTCTGTCAAGAATTGTGAAAAAGCTCTGTAAACCATGGATCCTTCTGCAAAATACTAGTTTGTAGTTTAAACATTAGTCTTTCTTCAGAGGCCAATGAGGCTAGTTAATTAAGCCTGAGGGGTTATGAACTGTTGGCAGTTAATAAGTCATAAAATTCCTCCATAAAAACAGGATGCTAGATTCCATCACTGAGGCAAGGAGTACAAAGAGCTGGTGTATAAATATCTAATTGTACAAAAGGACTGGGATTTCTCAATGACTGCTCATCTGGAGTCTCCAGGGCATGCTCGCTATGGTTTCCTGATTTTTAGAAGCCAGTTTAAAAAATGAGTGCATTAAAGAGTAATTTGCCTGAAAGTTCAGGAAGTATGGGGTGGTGAAGGGAGGGGGAAAAGGAAAGACAAAAGAAAGGAAAAGGAGAGAAACAGAGAGAGAGGGGGTAAAAAAAAGCAGAACTGAGCTCTCTACACTGAGTTGGACGTTATTACATTTGTCATCTGTTTTCTTTCTCCTTTAGGATGTTCACCATGGCAACGGTACACAGCAGGCTTTTTATGCTGACCCCAGCATCCTGTATGTTTCCCTCCATCGCTATGATGAAGGCAACTTCTTCCCTGGCAGTGGAGCCCCAAATGAGGTTAGGTTTATTTCTGTGGAGCCCCATTTTTATTTGTATCTTTCAGGTAATTGCGTTGCATGATTACCCCTAATTTTCTTGTCCTTCTCTGGTTCTTAAAATTACACCAGATTACCAAATTGTCCACTGGGAGCAGGGGCTAGTGAAGAACAAGTGCATAACCCAGAGCAGTCCTTGTCAAATAAGGCTGGCTGATCTGATGTTTTGTTTGATGTTTGTTTCTAAAGCACACTTCAGATTTTTTTTTTTTTTTTTTTTTTTTGCCCTCTCTTTCCCTCCTTTCTTTTCCTCCTTTTTACTTCTTTTTTGGTATTTTCTTTCTATTTTTTCAGGTTGGAAGTGGCCCAGGTGAAGGTTTTAATATAAATATTGCTTGGACAGGTGGTTTGGATCCTCCCATGGGAGATGTTGAATATCTTACAGCATTCAGGTCAGTATCTTTTTCTTTTACAGTTTGAAACCTGGTGGTACAACATAAACACATGAATAAGAATGACTATAATTTAAAAAAACAGGAGAATGGTGAAACCTATGGTGAAACTGTTTTAATACCTATAACCTAGTGTGTGAAATCTTAGTAAAATTAATAAATGGGTAGTTTAGTTGTAGTGGTCACTCACATAGAATAATAAAAATAAAGGTCTAATGATTTGATCACTCATCTATTTTATTATCATATTATGCCATTAAAATGACTTTGAGCTTCCTAACTTCTCTATCTACAAAATTTAAATGTAAGCAATGATACCAGACATAAGAAAAATACTGTTCATATTGATTATGGTCGTGTGGAAGTATAGCATGTACAAAGCATTACTAAGTATGGTCCAAGCCCAGTTGATCCTCGTTAGATTAAAATTCTCATCATGATGCTCATGTGATGCTCACAAACTTGCCCAACTGGCATTTTCTGTGAATTTCAGTGGAAAGCTCGTTACTTAAAAGTGAAACTCTCAATAAGAGTTGTAGGAGATGTTGCACGCTATGTTTCTCTTTGCTTTCAATAGCTCATTATAAATGAAATTTCATTTTCTCATAGGTGATTCATCATTAATCTTTAGTCCTTTTCATGGGACTGGAGGAGATAGAACAACTTTCAAACATGCTCTGTTAGACTTTCAGTAGTCCTGTTTTACACACATCATTTCCCTTCATTGTTCATCAGTTCAGTGGAAGGGTTTAGTGTGCACTCATTTCTCATAATTGGATAAATGACACATGTCTGACAAGAGATTTTAATTAGTGAAAGCTGACAGGCTGGAAAGGCAGTGAGACAACTTCCATATTGGATCACATCCAAGAATTTTAGTTTGAAGAAATGCATTTGCCTTATGTAGATTGAGTTCTGTTCTTTACAAAATATATCACAAAAAGTATAAAACACACTTTTGCTTTATTTTCTGAAGTACTCCTGTGTTGTCCACAAAAATAATATGCCAAGGATCTGATAAACAACATACCTGAATTGAAAGTCCCAGACACAGAAATGGCCCAGCACAATCACAGTGTCACACAATCATTGTGGGGAAAAAAAATCTTTATGAGTTTTATTTACAGCATTTGCCTGTACTTTAAAAAAAATAATAATAATAAATAAGTAGTGGCAAATTTAAAATCCTATATACCTCAACGTTGCCTCAAGCTCTTTCCAAGATCTTTGTTGTCTTTCAATGTATTATTCTGGAATTATTATTATATATGGAATTGAGAGGACTAGATGGTTCAAATAACTGATATTAATATCTGATACTAATGTCTGATATGATCACCCCAGATTTCTTGGTCTGGATGCAACATAAGCCAATAATGATATAGGTAATGTGACCACGTTAGCGCTGTGGAGAATGATGGTCTAAGAAGACTCATACAAATGACTACAACTGTAACTGGAATCCCTTCTGTTTTATTTTTCCCTATTGTCAGGAATAAATACTTGGGTTTTAAAAATCTTTTCAAACATATTCATTGCAGTTCTAGTAAAAGGCACACTCATTAGCAGTTTGAAGCAGCTCATACTACTGTTAAGCATTTTAGTCTGCTTCAGAGTTAAAAGGAATTTCAATCTGCAAATGTTTTGCCTTGCAAAATAGCACTATTCAGAAAAATAAAATACATGTAGACTTCTACACAATGACTAATCATTTGCAGGCATACCACTAAAGCAAGTGCTTAATCATACTTTTTAAAAGCAAATAAATTGAATGTAAGAGTGAAGTTATCCTTTAAAGAATTGCTGATGGTTGAAAATGTAATATATTTTAAATTTTAATAATAAGTAATAATTATTATAAATAATTTCAAACTTAAATAATTTTAGATGCACAATTAGTATTTCAATTAATGTGGGCAAGAGCTTATTGTTAAATAGTAAACAGCTATTTTTAATTTTTTTCTAGAAATACATGCTGTTGACTAATTACAATACATGCTGCCATGCTTCCATTTTTCCAAAAGTACTTGAACAACAGGAAGTGTTTCCTTATGTCCTAAGCTCCTTTTCAGCAAAGATGGTCTTTGTACCATCTGTAACGCTTTTGATATGGATTTTTTATGACTATTATGGCATCAGTGAAGAAAATAAATTTGTAGCATGAATACAAATAACTATAAATTATGCAAGATAAACCAGATAGCCTTTTTTTCTGGGTTTGCTTGTAGTGATAGGTAAATTTACAATTACTAATGATGAGTCAATCTTTCAAACAGAATCTATTCCTTCTATTATCCAAAATACCATAGATGGTGTAACATGCATTATGAATTTGGCCAGGACAGAATTACAAGACTATAGTCAGGAATGAGAACTCCACAGTGCAATCTTTGTCCATAGACAGGATGGAAGGTAGAGTCTGGGAGAAAACCAATATGAGGCCTAGTAAACAAGCCAGCAAGTCAACTGTTCAGGAGCTGCAACAGGTCAATTTACATGGAAGTATATAGTGAAATTTGTAGTTAGGAAAATGAGCATGTTATTTTTAAAATAAATTTATTTTAGAGACAGAATTATGTAGATGTTCTTAACAAAGAGATGGGGAAAGCATTGGATATCCTCATTTTTGAGAAGAGGAAAATGAAGAGACAAAATTGAGTGTTTATCTCTTCATATTAACTCCCCAGCAGGCAGAAAACGTATTCAAGATTAAGTCCCTAGCAGAGGCAGGACAGTGTGCTGTCTGAGGTCCTTACCAATATATTGAAGATGTCAGGAAGTTTGCAGGCAGACGGAGCTGAACTGGAGAGCGAGCAGTTGAGGCTTCCTGGTTTCCAGCAACTTGGAAGCTTAGTTATTTGAGTCCTTAGGAACTGAGCTTCCAAGAAGGTCCACATAGCTTTTGCTTTCTAACCAGCAGAATCCTTGTATCTTCCTAGAATTGCACTAAGCACTTATTTGAAGTTTCTGCAACCATGATACTAGATAACTCATTACTTCTTTATTGAGTATCAGATTTTATAGCAGAAATACTTCTGAATGATAATGTCCACATAAATAGAGACCAAGTCCCTTTGTATGACTGTAAAGATTTGCTGAGGTATTGCTCTATATGTGATGTATTAGACATCGGGAATTGTTCTTATGGAATATACTTCTTGAACTGTATGAGCATTTATACACACACACACATATATAAATACAGGTAGTAAATACATGTAGCTGAGTATTTGTAATTTTCAGCTGCAAAAATGACTAGATAGATCTATTCGAATTAAATCCTGTTGTTACTTAATGAGGTTTCACTTCAATGTCTTCCTCCAAACTATCCTAGAAAATATTTCTGCATTTTTGGAGAAAAAAAAAAAAAAACAACCAACAGTTGTTGTATAAAAACTCAAGACAGTTGAAGATGAGTTAGAACCACATCACAGAGTAATTACTTCAACAAAATATGGTGGCTTCTGTGGGACACTAGTAGGAAACTGGACACTGGTTTGAGTCTGCCGTTTAGCTGTCTGTGCTACATGGAGAGTTCTTCTTGTGCTTTTAAACTAACTTTTTTTTGTGTGTGTAAATTCAAATTTAAATGGTTTTAGATGTGTTAAAGATTTTATTTATAAAGTTGGATTTCATTTTATTTATGTTCAGTTTCTAATAAGAAAATGTATTTACTCTTGTTAACTATGAGAAGGTAGTAGAAAATGTAAGAGGAAGAAGTTTCTGTAGAATCAAATAGAAGTGCATTATTTAATTTTGCCAGAAAAGTCTTGTTTGATATTTAGCATAGTGAAGCAGCTGTTTTATCTTCAGAATTCCTTGAAAAGAATGTTTTTTTTTCCTGACGGATATTCATGTCGTCTTTTTTCTTATGATAATTAAAATGAACAGCTTCTTATCAATATTTTCAAGGCCTTTGGCTCTAGAGAGTTATGTTTCATCATTTAATTCCACCTATTTAAGTGAATTTTGTTTTAATCTCTTTGAAAACATAGAAGATTGTTGCTGTTTATTGAGATGATGATTCTACACTTCACTTTATGAGAGCGTAATCCACAGTCTTCTGCCAGCAGCTATAGGAAAAACAAGAGGGATGTTCAGATATTAATGTTCAAATAATTGCTTTCTTAAGCTACATGTTATACCATATGCTTTCAGTAAAAGAGGCAGAAGGTCTGTGTTGTACACACATGCATGTACATGTATGCACTGAGTTTACAGATGACAGAAGAAATCTATTTGTGTAGAGCAAAATATAGCAGATGCTGGAGGAAATGGAAACAAATGTGAGAGCTGAGAAGGGTGAAGAAAAAGCAAGAGACAGAAGGAAACTGAGTGTGCCTTCCAACTGCTTTGTACTGCTTTTATTCAACAAAGGAGTTGTAAATTTAGTTTAACCAGCCAGTATGCTCTGGCTGTTTTGCTCTACTCGAGAGTAGCGTAAAACAGCCACAGCATATCAGTGAACCTGGTCATAAAAGCTTGTATAAAATGAAATGTGTGTGTGTTTCTTGGAATCTTTAGAAATAGCTCACGACAATATTATATTTGAGGTTGATTGTTAGCAGTCATGTGTATGATTTTAATTTAATATAGTGAGCAAATTTAAAAGGCATAAATGACACTAAGGAGGAGTTAGGAATGAACTTACATATCCATGGTTTAATTGTAAATACAACACAATTTATAAGTATTTCAAAATAATTATTTCTTTAAAAAAAGAGAATTCAAAATCAAAATCACGTTTGAAACCGATTATGCTGAAGTGTAGAAATGAAGGAAAATAAGGGCATACAGAAAATCTTCACTTCCTTTCAGATAAATTATTTTGGTAGAAAGTAAATATGTTTAAAAATCACTGTGGACTAACCCCTGATAAAAAGTATTTAGAAATGTTCGTTTCAGTCTTATAATCTTATAGGGCATAATTAAAATTATTTCAGAAATTACATGGATGTATAATGACCTTTTTTTGGGTGTTAGTTTTGTGTTTCCTGATC